AAGGTGACAACCGGGCGTGACTGGTGTTTACGTTTGTTTACAGGCGAATATGCTGAGATGCAGAATGTTGCAGACGAATATATTTTATTGAAGCCTCAACCTTTAAACTTAGCTCCATACAGAAATAGACAGTTGATATTAAATATCATCCACACGGGAAATAAGGTCAGCAGCTCACTAATGAACTCCTGGGCAGCAACATCTTCTAGTACCTGCCAACGCTAACCTACACTAATAAACCAGATACGCGGCATGAACACAATATATGCCCTTCAAAGAATGTCCTTGAAATAACTGAAGTTCTACATGGACAACTCCCTACAGAAATATAACAGGAATGTTGCTGTGATAGCTAACATATGGATTGGTAAGGCAGAAACTCATTAAGCACCACAGACACTATATGAAACATACAGTATTGACACAGGGAGATAAAAAACATGATGGGATCGCTACTATAACCATATTGTCTTGTTAAAAGCAGCTACAGTATAGAGCCTTAGGTGAAGCAGAATTTAACTGAAGGTCAAAAAGATCTCTGTGTGCACACAACACAGTTACATTTCAGTCCACAGCTGCTAGAAACAAGAAGGTTTAATGGTCTCCCTAAAGAAAGAAGGCTCTTTTGTTATGTGATTTAGGTGTGACTGAAGACAAAGTTCATGGTCTGTTATTGCTCATTATTTAACGATATAAGCAATTCACCTTTTCATAAAATGTGTGTGTGTGTGTGTGGGGGGGGGGGGGGGGGGGGGGGGGGGGGGGCATAACAATTTATGTTATGCATATTTAAAGGGCGGTGCTTTAAGGGGCAGGCTGTCTACATAACTAAAGAAAGTGTCCTCCTCAGGTTCCCTTTCCAAACTTAATATATTCTTTCAATTAGCATCACTTACCCACCTTTTACATCCTAATATTTTCTTTATAAGTCGCTCCACGGACATTTTTCTATCCAGTTTGACCAATCGAGAAGCTTCAGCAACATTATATCACAGTGAGTGAAATATTCAAACCCTAGATACATTTTTAATGGATGGATCCTCACATCAGATGACAAAATCTGGAAGACGTATCATTATGAAAACAGGAATATCAGATGTCTCTATGGAATCGTTATATAACTTCCTGATCTTTCAGAATTCAGAATTTAAAGGGCCAGTGTGTAAAATGGGTTGAAAACAGTGACATCAGTGGTCAAATTCTAGATTGCAGGGCTCACTCGCTCACCCCTCCTGTCGGGTAAATGACGGTGGCCTCGTAGGGACAAAAAGCCTTGCGCACGAGTTTTTCAGGAGTAGGTCTATCTAGTGACGAGGTGAATGTTTATTTAGAAATCTAAACCATGTTACGATATTGTAATGAATCCCTCACGAGCAGGAGACCAGAGGAGCGTTCAGGAAAAAGGCCCGTTTATTTGAGCACTCCAGAAACTCCGGTAACACTCCACTCCGTCCCAAACTCTGACTCTTCTAGCGTGACAGACACACTTCATAACTTTACACACATACTCGTTTACCATACTGAGTGGGGACCCCCCTCCCCTCTCTGCTCTGCCAATCTCCAGCCCGCACACTGACTGACAGCGTAGCCTGTAAACACAGCTCAGCTGTTTATTTAGGCTAGCAATATCTCCGGACTATAGTAGCTGCAATGGACGACTTTAAACGTGATTTTGGAGAGTTTCTTGTAGCGGACACAGACCCAGAGCCATACCTGTTTGAGCCGGAGCACACAGATGAGGAATTCCATGTGTTTGATGCTGAGCGGGTGAGAAGAGAGGCTGAATGCACAGAATGGGATTCGGTGCTACTGCTGCCATTGTTGGGGAGATATATCATCAGGAGGAAAAGCGCCGCAGAGAGTGCATCACAAGGAGTGATGTTGCGTCTTCTTTTCCTCGCAGATGACGGTTCAGGTTCATTCTCTCCTGTTGCGTGGTAAGTGTGGTCCATTCACAAACTTAATAACTAAAAAAACTTTTCACTACTCTCTATCGACGAACTACTAACACTCTGCTGTTTCTTCCTCCTTCTTCCTTCCTTCCGCTGTCTTCGTTGGTTCATTTATACACGCGAAACGCGTTCTCTGGCTGGCTGGATTGTCCACTCGGTCTGCCGTACATACATGGCGGCGCAAGATGGCGATCTCTCTAAAGCAAGGCCCTTGCTATATATATATGTATAAAAGCATAATTATAAGGCTACGAAAACTAAACGAATTTTATTTTATAGCGATCATATACTTGTATAAACATATTAATGGGTAGAATATTCAGATTCAGATTCAGATTGACAATAAACCATGTCAAATATTCCACACTGGCCCTTTAAAATAAAGCTGTTTAGGTCTGCACACCTTTTCACACAGCATAGGTACAGTAATGGGCACACCAAATGTAATGACACAGAAAGATGAAAGACGTCAGAGTAAACAGTATCAAACTTATGTGCATGTTATGATGGGCAGTAAAATAGTTGTAAAGTGTGATTTTGTGAGGATATACAGCAGACTGGTGGCTGTTTGCCTCATGATCAGCACTAACTGCAAGTGATAGCTCATCCACCTTTTTATTCAACGACAGAGCACTTGCTATGGGAATAAAGTAATATCACATGGATGTTAGGAGTCTTATAGTGGGCTATCAGTGTAAGGAGCATCCATCAGAGATCATCCCAGCAGGCTGGCTTTTGTCATTTGAGCTGAGAGCCCCCTTGTTGCTCGCCTGCCCAACCCAGTGCAGGGAGCGCTGTCTCCAATGCAACACCTTCAGCAGGAGTACTACATGTATGAGGTAATTGTTGTTTGGTCATGTGAGCTGCTGCAGCAGCTGTCAAATGTGATGATAGCAGGAGAATCCTCAGCCCCGCCCCCTGCGGCTGATTGGACAACTCACATCCGACTAGGGACCATCAACCAAGAGATCAGCCTATAGATGCACTCAGAGATGAGTTTCAACCAGGGAATGCAGAGAAGAGTGAAAAGGAGAAGCAGAATATTAGTAATGTGACTGTGCTGAAAGCTGACAGTAAACTACTATTTCAGATAAGATAAGATAGATAAGACACGATACACCTTTATTGATCCCACAATTGAGAAATTCCAGTGTTACAGCAGTCAAGGGGAAAGAGTCAGATTAAAGATTTCAAAATTTAAACTTAATAACTTAAAACTTAAAAACTAGGCATGCAAAATAAAGTACAAAAATACAAGAAACAGCGATAAATAACAATAATAATAATAATAATAATAATAATAATGATGAAAAGTGGATAATAATGAACAGTGAATAAAAATGAGCAGTGGATTAAAGAGAGCACATCTAGTGCTAACACACACACACACACACACACACACACACACGATAGCACTGCTCTTATTTCACTGTCTTTAACATGCACTTATTTGCGGTTACCGGTTTCTTTTTATCTCAAAGAATCAGTTATCAGTAACCAGAGGAAGCTCAGTTTCCTGTCAACTGCGACTCACTTGATTATCCTTGTGACATTATACAAGTTGTCTTCAATATATTGTGCTGATTCAGACAGCTGTATTATGAAAACATAGTGGTAATAGTGATTCTCTAAGATATTTGTGATGCCAAAAAGACAAAGCAGATGCAAATTAATAAGCAAATGATTTTTGAACTTATTTATAACGATGAGAAGCCAAAATCTCCATAACAGGGTGGCATTTGTCTGCATAGGAGTCATGTAAACTAGCTTCCAATGCCATGTTAAGACAAGACAAGTGGATTTTAATGGTGATGCATTTGTTTCTCAAATGAAACAATACTGTGTGTGCTAATGTTGTATTAGGTGAGGTATAACTGAAACAGGCATGTGGTGAGTGAGTATTGGTGATACTATGTTAGATCATATGGTTAGAAAGAGGTCTCTTGCACAATATTGTGCATTTTATGTGAAAGATATGACAAGAGAAGCTGGCTCATTCCTGTGAAATGCCATCTTACTTTGCATGTTTCTGGACCTCTGGAGTTCAAGGCCCTCACTATAGGAACATTTGGCCTAGAGAGCAGAGAGATCGAGACAGAAAACTGATATGAGCGTGTGTGTGGGTGTGTGTGTGCATGCTCATCCTTTCCATTTGTAGAGAGCCAAGCTTTATGAAGATAGTTGTGGGTGCACTAATTTAAGGAGACAGCCCACACCTGGTCAACTGCAACACAGAGGTCAAATCTCTGTACCTCCCCTCCTTCTCTCACAACCACATCCCTCCTCCTGTGGCGTCTCCATCTGCAGCTCCCCGGTTCCGTCTCACATATCTCATCCATCCTTAACACACACATACACACACACAAACACACGATAGCACAGTAGGGCTATGTATGTTTCTATGTCTATCTATTTATCTCAACCACAAAGGCATGTGCAAAGTAGACAGACACTCCCCTAAATTTAGAAATATTTAAGAGTCAGACTTAAGTTACATTGTAGTGTCTAAACAAACAGGTGGGGTATACTCTTACATGTTAATCTGGACTGTCTGGTGGGACAGATGCATGTCTAGCCAAAGTGAAATCAATATTCTATTGTCTTTATTTAGGGACAGAGTGATGGGCTCCTTATGGTGTGTTTAGGGTGATGTTAAAGTCATGTTTTGAATATGACACCCTTATAATGTTCCCAGCATAGTCCTGTATGGATTTATTGTATCTTGCCTACAGGCTGTTGAATTTGTAGCACTATCAGTATATATAGGCTAATAGTCCCACAGAGCCCGATGGTGTGTGTGGTAGTCCTACTCATTGGCATTTTACAGGCTGCCTCAGGGTATCGTTTTACTTCCTGTGGGGTCACATAGTGTGCTTCTTATATTTTCATATAGCGACTAAAAGAATGTGATTTTGCATAAAATCTTCCTCACATTTATGATGTCATTTCTTACAGTCTTTGGTCCACACATCCCCACCAGGCGGAGTGTACTTTATCCAGAGCCCCTTGGTTTCAAAACCAAGCTCCGCCTCTCCAGCAAGCGCACCCACCTTGTCCACCAGCAGCACAGTGCGCCAGGCAGCGAGAGCACAGGCGTGGAGCACACCGGGGAGCGGGCACGACGGAGCGCCAGTAGCACGGACTTGTAGTGGCGGTACTTCACGGAGAAAAGACGGCCGGTTCTCGGTTAGGGAAACTCCGCATTAACATCTGTTAGGACTAGAAGAGGGGTCTTTTTCATATATTCAGCTGTGGAAAAGGGAACTCCTTCACGGCCAAATTTGGGAGTACTGTAACCGGTGGTGTGGAGAGAAAGATGCGGTTCCACTCCGACTCGGTGCGCCGCGCAGTCCGCCTCCGACGCTGGTGATGCCCGCCGTGCGGGGATCACCGCCCAGCAGCAGCAGCAGCGGCAGCAGCAGCAGGAGGAGGAGGGGGTCAGGACAACAGTGCGTCGGGGGGCCGGTGATGATGATGGTAAGGTCGGGATCATGGCTAACGGAACCGGTACCATCATGTTAAAATGCGTCGTGGTCGGGGACGGTGCAGTGGGAAAAACGTGTCTTCTGATGAGCTATGCCAATGACGCCTTTCCAGAGGAGTATGTGCCCACAGTCTTTGATCATTATGCAGGTATGGATACACATTTTCTATTATTCTGTCTATCATGAGCGTCTAATAATAACATCACGACACGTTGAACTGCTGCTATTGTGTGTTTTATAATCCTTCCTCAGATTAAAATCTAATAGGAGAGAATATAATGTTGCCTGAGAGAAATCCCTGTTTCCTCTGCCTCCACTCTTTCTCCAACTGCATTGGCTTGCATCTGTTGCTATAATCAAAACCACTTGTTTGCCTTCCTCATAGCAGAGAGGGGTTGGGGACCCTGAGCACCCCCCCTCCCTTACTCCCTCCCTCCGTTTCTGCTCCCCACCCTCACCCTCTCTCCTTCCTCCTCTCAACTGCTCTTTGTCATTTCCTTGCAGTGAGTGTCAACGTTGGTGGGAAGCAGTACTTGCTGGGACTGTATGACACAGCTGGTCAGGTACAGTTTATTTTTTCCTCTGGCCAAGTGCCAAGCATGTCAAGGACACACACTCACATAGACTCTCTGGGTCTCTCACTCCATCTCTATCTCGGCCTCCCCATGCGCTCCTGGGACCAATAACTATCCAACGGTGCCTCCAACACGCCCACAGGCTTCATATTCAGGCCAGACACTAAGCTGCAACAGGTGATGGTTATTCGCACATGGGTTTACTGCCAGAGTCTGGTGTGCCATGGACAGTGATGGCAGTGAAGGGGTTTCAATAGTTCTATTATGTGGAGAACAGGGCTCCTATGTCCAGTAGTGATGTCACAGGTTTGTTAATAGGGCCGCCTAATGCCTGGGCTTTTTCTTTACAATGTGCCATTCAGCGGGCAAGAGTTAAAACTGAAAATGCACTGGCCTACACACACAATAATGCTTCCACTCAGCAGAAGAGCCAGTGTAAACACACATAGAGAGAGGAAATCATGTTAACACAGGCTCACTGAGGGCATCAGCGCAGGATATAGTGCATTTATTGCCACCGGAACTTCCAGACTGAAGTTTAGAGCAAAAATGATTAATCACTTGGTCTCTGTGATAACTTAGATAATTACACTACAGCTGTTATGATTAGTCAAGTAAGTGATTAGTCGACACAAATGAATTAATCAACAGTTTTGATAATCAATAAACTGTTCGTTGAAAAATTTGGATTAACTGACAGTGAAAATAATTGTTAGTGGCAGGCACAGATCATTAATGTCAGGGTAAAGCAAAAATGAATATGCGTAATATGTCACGCCACAGAAAAATGTGTCACTAATCACCCAGCCGAATTTAAATGTTACAAAAATCAGCAGTTGTATGAAATTAGGTTTCAAAATTGTGAAAAAAATAAGCAGTATTCTCTGCTCTGAGACACCAGGGGCCAGTCCACTGAAGGAGCTAAAACGAAGAATGATCAGCTGCCAAGTGACAGACTCCCGTTAGCAGCTAGACTGAGTGTCAAACTGAAGCTCCCAGAACCTTCAGTCTGACATGGCTTCCAGTGAAGGCGATTTACAAGGGGGAGGGAATTTGATTTTTCCCTAACCAATCAGTAGAGATCAAGGACTCACCCAGAATCTGACGTCATTAGTATCCATGCCTCGGGGGTGCCGAAAACAAGCGAGCATTGCCCGTTTAAAATGTCTCCATCGTCGTGCACGCCCAGCTGCATCGCCGTTAAATTCAGTTTAGAAGCTTCCTTAATTTGGTCCTCCATTAACGCGAGTAGTGGCGAAATACCTCGATAGCATTGTTAATGTGGTCTGTAGGATCTGTAGCGGTCCCCATTGTTGCTATTCTTACCAGTTACCCACCGGCGTACAGCTTGACATCAGCGTGGCGCTGATTGGCTAATCGCTAGACCCCCGGCGTTCATTGGTCCGTCCATCGTTTGGACTAGATAAATCGCAAATTCATTGAAGTATGCCAGACCAGAGATGCAAGCCTGCTCAGTTGAGTGGGCGGGGTCTATGGTCTGGAACCAGGCTAGTTAGCAGCTAACCCAGTAGCACATACACAGCCCCCTGAGCCAAACAGCGAGCCTTCATGCAGCTACAGACCCTCATTAGCAGCTAACCCAGTAGCACAAACAGTCTATGGTTGCACAGCACACATATCCCAAACTGAAGAATGAGAACTGCTAGGTGGCAATAGCCTCTTGGTCAGTAGCTAACAGCAGCTAATATTAGCAGTAAGCACACACCTACAGCAGCGAGCAGTAGGGGTGGGAATTGCCAGAAGACCAAGATACGATATTATCACGATACTTCACAATACAATATTACTGCGATTTTAAACGTGTTGCGATATGCTGAATATTGCGCTAAAATATATTACGATACATTGGGATGTATTACTTTTTGTCAACTTCAAATTATGTCCCAGAAGGAAAACTACGTCCACATCTTTATAATCTAATAAGATAAAGTTTTCAGTCTGTTCATCTCACTTCAATCTTTCTTTTTTTTTTTTTTTTTTGCAGCAAAATGTATGGAATGGTTTTTAAAAGCAACTGATTTTTTTTTACGTAAGTAGGCTACCTAAAGTTTAATTTGTATTTGTACTATTAATAATTCATATAATAAAGAAATCAATACTTGGCACTGTGTGACAGTTCGATATTGCCACACAAAAATATCGAGATACAATGCTGTATCGATTTTTTCCCAGCTTTTTTTTTTTTTTTTTTTTTTTTTTTTTAGGTCTGGGCCGAGCTGGGTAGCCAATTTGGGCTGAAAGACTTAAAGTTACGCTAGTTACGTCTATTAAGCTTGTGTTTATATAATTGTGGCATTTAGTAGAGATGTTATTCATGTATTTGCAAAACTGGAAGCGCTAAGACAGCTGCTGAACGTGGCAAACTCCCAGGGGGTGAACTGAATGACATTGATGCTATACAATCTAACATTAGTAGTAATGTAGTATTGTTGTGGTCGTGACAGGGTTTGTTAAAGATGGCTCCAATACATCATTGAGGCATGGTTTCAGGCCCTCCAAGAAAATCTTGGACATAGAAACAGTGAAAAAAGGCTTAGCGGTCTGACTTCACAATTGAATACTACCCAGTTCACAGTCTTTTCACATTTTCAATAAGTGTTTCCTGACATGTAATATTTTTAGAAAGCAGTCACTGTTTTTGATTTACCTGGACCTTAATACGAACATTTTAAAGGGCACATTAAACCTGGTATTTTATTGTTAAGAGCAGAAATGTTTAAAGGTGCTCTGTGGAGTTTTTGACCACTAGAAGTGCCATGGAGCAATGTTCTTTACAAGTGGGCCCCGATTTGTTTGTATAGTGCACATGCTCAGCCGTTGGGGCAGGTTTTGAAGCAATTCCATTGATTGACAGTTGGCAACAGTATACAGTACTGGCAGCAGTGCTCACACACATACACAGTGTGTTTCACTGAGACATACTGATTATAAACACAACTTCTGTTTGTTTACAAGACACTCCACAGAGCACCTTTAAGTTTGAACTCCCTTCAGCTACACTGCAAGACCCCATAACCTTTAACCTCCTGTCTTTCCGGCAGCCTAGAACTGTCCTCATGTCAAATGTTGAATAGTTAACACTTTCCTCAGGGCCAGATTTAACTGCGTCAAGTCAGAATGAGTCACAATCTGTAATCTGATCCGTTCATCGGAAAGACAAAAACTAGGCGCTGAAAGGTCACCCGAGGAATACTCAGCCATTTGTCTGTTCTGTTCATTCATGAATGCCAAAATGCACAAGTCCATGAATAGTAAATCTCATTCATCCTCCCTCCTTCAGCTACCTGTGACTGTGTTATATTTCTCAGAGAAAACAGATGGTAGAGGTGTTACGACTCGGTTGTAAAAAGGGGAACACAATCTTATTGTCTATTCTGGTGTGTTTGATATGGTGTGTGTGTGTGTCAGAGGAGGGTTTGTTTTTAGCTGATTCAGAGTGTCTCTGAAATGGAGAAGTTCTCCCAGATGTCTGCCGTGGGTGCTGCCGGCCACCGAGAGTAGAGTTACTGCTCTTCAAAACGCAGCCCCCTCCGCCCCCGACTCTGCTGACCTCTTTATGTGGAGCACAAGGCCAGCTGGTAATGTTTATAGCGTCAGCCTCTGATCAAAGACCCAGCGCCCCAAAGAGAGACGGAGAGAGAGAGAGTGAAAGAAAGACAAAAAGAGGAAGAGAGAGAGACACACATGAGGGGAGGAGGAACTGCTCAGAAAGTGGATAAATTCAGTCCTGTCAGTTTCATTTTCCTTTCTCTTACTTCTGTCACTCTGTCACTTAAACTGTCCCCTCATCATCTCCACCTCTGGCTTGTGCTACACATGTTCAACTGGCCTCAAGCTCCCTGTAATATTTATATTCCTGGCGTGGCTAGAGCTCCCACAATGCTTTGCTGTTCTGCGAGGGTATCAGCAGCATTACATGCCCTCATCAGATGCGATTTCATGCTGTCACATTGGTGTTACATGTCAGGATCGCATAATCACGGCTCGGCATTGAGCAGAGTGCCACTGTGATCTGTCTGCTTGTTGATACTGCTGCCCTGCCTGCTATTGTCTGCGTGCTGCCACGTCGCTCCCCCAGCCGCTGCCTATTGAATTATTCCATATGGAAGGTCTGCGAAGTCTGTTTTGCTGAATGTGACGAGGGAACAGAGGGGAAAGTCTTTACTTATTCATTCATTCTCCTGCTGCTGCTGCTGCTGCTGCACTCAAGAAAATCTAGCATCACTGCCTGAGGAGGAGCAGGAGGAAACAGGAAGTGGATGCTAAGTGCTGTGGTACCCATGGAAACGCTTTAGGGAGAGGAACTCAAGAGTTGTGACCCCGTGGGATCTGTGCCCCGGTGCCCTAATAACCCCCACTTTGGTGTTGGTCTGTTCCTCATTTACTCAGCCTGTCAACTGCTCTCACACTTAACTGCACATCCTGTGATCACTTTTACCACTTGACTTCACCCATTCGCCCTCTCTCCTTACTGTCTGGTACAGTCTGATGAGTCTCTTTTGACTCAGCAAGCCAAAATGGCCCAGTGACCTCCAGACGTCCCAGTGGGGGTGGCAGGTGGGGATGGGGGTGAGGTCTGGAAGGGGAATACTGGAAATGGTTTCACCCAGCCGGGAGCCTGTCACCACTCAGCTGCTTGGACACTGACAAACAAGAATTCTGTAAACATGCCTCAGCTGACACTTTCAACTGGAGATGGCACTCTTTAGACTAGGGGTGGGCGACATGGCCAAAATCTGTTGTCATAGAGTATGCAATTTTATGTAACAGTAAATGAAAAATTTCACAACACAGTAATTGTTCAGTATATTGAATCAAGGAGTGGTTTGAATTAACCATTCTGCACTTCAATTACATTTGATTATTTTCTTCTTTAGTTTGGAACGTTGATACAAAAAAAAAAAAAAACGCCTTACACGAAAGCAAGACTCAAAACTGTAAAACTGAAATTCTTTCTAAATGGAAGC